GCTTCGGCTGCTGCTGCTGCTGCTGCTACTGCTGTTGCTTCTCCCGCTGCAACTCCAACCTCTCACGCTCCACCCGCTGCTAAACCTCTGACCTCTCATGCTCCAAACGCTGCTGCTCCTCACGCTCTAGACGAAGAAGGGCCTGGAAACGAGTCGGGTAGGGGTGAGGAGGAGGAGTGGTGTCAGGAGACGCAGCAGAAGAACCGGCTCCGTCCTCGACAGTACCCGGCTGAGCACCCCCAGAGCGGGTACCTCCCGCGGCAGTACGACCAGCACCTGTAGGAGGTGTACCCGCACCCCCAGTCGTGGTGCCTCCAGTGGCACCAGCACCAGCCCTAGACTCTCCAGCTCCAGAAACACCACCAGCTCCAACACCACCACCAGCTCCAGTACCCTCGGAAGGGGCAGCTGCGGCAGGTGCACGCTCACCGCCAACGCCAACACCCCCAGAACTGGCTGCTCTTGTAGGTGCACGAACAGTTCCAACGCCAGCACCCCCAGAGTGAGCACCGCTAGAGCCCTCACCTCGAGCACCAACACCTTCAGAGGCCGCAGTGGCCGGTAAAGGAAGCGCTGACAGCTGCTGCAGAGGCGGTGAGGACGACTGTGGGGAAGGAGGAGAGACCTGGGGGGTACCGAGGGGGGGGGAGTAGCGTGGGACACACCAGACGGAGCGGGAACAGGGGGGGGGGGTACCGGAGGAGTAGGGGCGGGAGGAGGAGGAGTTGGCGCCAGGAAGAGGGAAGGGGGGGGAACCGGGAGACCTCGACAGGGGTACCGGACGTAGTAGGGGACGGACTCGTCGAAGCGGACGTCACGAGAGTCAAAGAACTGGTGGGAGGGAGGATGGTAACAGGTGAAGTCAGAGGAGCCCTCTGGGAAACCAAGGAAGACACAGGGGACAGCACGAGGCGAGATCTTGTCCACAGAGGTGTCGCGGACAAGAGCCAAGCAGCCCCAGACACTAAACCTCGACGCAACACCAGGGAACCCTGTCCAAAGACTGGTCGGTGAAGCCCCTGGCCGAGAGACACGAGGCCAGAGGTTCAGCTGGTGAGCGGCATACCGAGCCGCATAGGGCCACAAATAATAGGGCGCGCGGGCGTGGATCATGGAGGTGCGGGCGATCTCCATGACCAGGCCTAAGCGGCGCTCAGCAACCCCATTCTGCTGTGGAGAGTCTAGAAGAGTCCAGGACTGGGTGATGCCCTGCTCAGCACAGAATCTAACGAGAATGCCGGAGTGAAACTCACCCCCACGGTCGGAGTGAAGACAACTGACACGATGACCGCTAGTGCCCTCGGTGGCGAGGAGCCACCGGATCAGCGCAGAATTCGCGTCGGACTTCTTCGCCAAAGGGAACACGGTGGTGTACTAGGAGTAGTCATTAACGACCACCAGAAAGAAACTCTCACGGGCAGGGCCAAGGCGGGGAGCGGGGCCCCATACGTCTAAGTGGAGAGTCTCGAAGGGCTCGGTGGCCGGACGAAGGGAGGAGGGGTGAGGGGTGGCGCGCAGCCGACTCTGGACACAAGGACCGCACGGAGGAGCTGGGGACGGTGGGACTGGCGGGAGGACTCGGGGGAGGCCTAAGACAAGACGCTGACTGGACATAGCGCGGAGACGAGGGAGGGAAGGGTGACCAAGGCGGTGGTGCCAGAGGAGGGAGGGGTGGGCAAGCGACCGACACGAGCACGACACAGCAACTACACCTGACACAGCAACCTGACTGGACCCGGTTACCTGGTGGGACGGGGGAACCTGACGGGGGTCGGTGCGGAGGGTGTTCAGATCGGAGCCCGGCTTCTGGCGAAAAGTGGCCAAGGGGGCGTACGTGTCAGCGTCCACACAGACCGCGGTGTCACCGGAAGGCTCAACCCAGACCCCGACGTGCTGTCTCACCAGGGTGCCCACACCAACCAAGTTCCTAGAAAACGTAGGAACGTGGAGGCCAGTCAGGGAACCGGAAGGAGCAGCTGGGCACGGGAGTGTAGTGGCGTGAGTCGCAATGACCGGTCCCGAAGAGGGATCGGCCAGCGCTGCAGAGACAGGTGCCGGTAGTGGAGAGAGAGTCGTGCAGTCGCGGAAGAAGCAGTGTGACGCTCCGGAGTCCAGTGTGAAGGAGAGAGAGGTGTCCGCCGAGGGAGTACCTGTATTAGTAGCTAAACAAGATCCTACACTAGCACCTACTCTAGCAATAGGCAAAGATCCTAAGCTAGGTACAGGCAAGTACACAGATCCAGAAGCACTATAGTCAATATCAGCATACATGGCATATGACCTAGCATCATCCATAGTCATATCAAAAACAGCGATACCACGAGCAAGAAGTGTCCCCCAGCATGGCGGCAGGGGAGCGGAGGGGTCGTGGTGCAAGCGGTAGAGGTCGTCGAGACGACTGAAGCAGCGTGCAGCAGAGTGGTCGGGGCGGCCACAGTACGAGTCCCGACGAGGACCCGTAAGGATCCAGTACTCACAGGGACCAACGTCGCGGCCGGCCGAGCGAGGTCCCCAACTGGAGGGGGCGCCACTGCGCCCAGTGCTCGGGGGACCCGCAGACCTCCACTGCTGCTGAGGGCCCCACTGCTGCGGAGGGCCCTACTGCTGCGGAGGGCCCCACTGCTGCGGAGGGCCCCACTGCTGAGGCTGCGGCTGTGGCGGGCGCTGCTGCTGGCCCTGTCGCTGCTGCTGCTGTCCCTGCCGCTGGTGCTATCCAGGCGGTGGCAGCTGCTGAGTCGGCTGATGTTGCTGCTGGGACCCCTCACCACCAGTGAAAACTCCACCGTCGAAAGGAGGGCCGTCAGGTCCCGAGCCACCACCACCACCACCACTCCCACCACTTGCTCCACCGCCACCGCCACCGCCACTACCCGCACCAGCTCCAGTACCCCTGCCGCCCTTCCCGCCCCTCTTACCAGCCTTACCACGTTTCTGCCCGCCAGAGACAGAAACAGCCGCCGTCTCCTGAGAGGCAGAAGACGTGGGGGTGGCAAGTGAGGCAGAGAAGGTGGGAAGCTGTGGTACCGCACACCCCTCAAAAAGATGAGGAGAGAGGCGCGGAAGAGGCAGAGGCAACAGTGAGGAGGTTAATCTCGATCTTCGAGAGAGCAGTCTCAAGAAGATCGATGGTAAGCTCAGTGGGGTGCTTCAGAAGAAGCGCATCGCAGGCTGTGGCTAGGCGGTCAGGGAGGCGAGTGACTAGCCAGTGAATAGTGAGCCACATAGGGGGTGGGGCAAGGGCAAGCTGGTCCTCAGTGCAAGCAGCGCGAAAGCGAGCATCAAGGGAGCGCAGGTGGGTAGCGAGATCAGAGATAGTCTCAAAGGAGGCGAGGTCAGGGTAGATAAAGGGTACGAGGAGGCGACTGAGTGAAGCAGAGGAGGGAGTGGAGTAGCGAGTAAGAACAGCCTTATACAGATCTGAAGCAGACTCGACCTGAGCGAAGTGGACTGCCTCTGTCGGCGGGAGAAGGTTGGTCAGGGCAAGGCAGGCAGCGGCGTCACGAGACTCCCACACGTCGCGAGCGAGGAGCTGGCGCTAGTAGTCGGCCTCCTACTCAGAAGTAGGCGGTGGAGTAGTGGGCAGAGGCTGAGGCTGGGGAGGGGCTTTCTGAGCGCCAGACGCGTGTGCGAACAGGTGCACACCATCCTGCCGCTGGCTCTTAAGGTGGTGCTGTGCCTGCGTAAGCCACGTACTAAAATCAATAGGTCTCCCTTCTGGGTCAAAACGAAGTACTCGGGAGGTCGCCATAGGGGGCGAAACTGAGAGAGCGCGGCTGCCAGCCGCGGGAGGGGGAGACAGCCACTAACGTGTGAACATGAGCGGAGGCATGCAGGCGGGTAGGTGGCGCAGCATGTGGACAGGCGGGCGGCACAGTGCGCTGGCTGGCGGGCGGCGCGGCGCGCTGCCTGGCGGGCGGCGCGGTGCGCTGGCCTGCGGGCGGCGCGGCGCGCTGGCCTGCAAGCGGCGCGGCGGGTCGTCGGACGGGCGGCGCGGCGCGCGGGCCTACGGGCGGCACGGCGGGTCGACGGACGGGCCTACGGGCGGCGCGACACGCGGGCCTACGGGCGGCACGGCGGGTCGACGGGCGGGCCCACGGGCGGCGCGACGCGCGGGCCTACGGGCGGCACGGCGGGTCGACGGGCGGGCCCACGTGCGGCGCGACGCGCGAGCCTACGGGCGGCACGGCGGGTCGACGGGCGGGCCCACGGGCGGCGCGACGCGCGGGCCTACGGGCGGCACGGCGGGTCGACGGGCGGGCCCACGTGCGGCGCGACGCGCGAGCCTACGGGCGGCACGGCAGGTCGACGAGCGGGCCCACGGGCGGCACGACGCGCGGGCCTACGGGCGGCACGGCGGGCCGACGGGCGGGCCCACGGGCGGCGCGACGCGCGGGCCTACGGGCGGCACGGCGGGTCGACGGGCGGGCCTACGGGTGGCGCGACGGGCGGGCCTACGAGCGGGCAGCGCGGTGCGCTAGCGGACGGGCCGCGTTGCAGGTCGACGGGCGGGCGGCGTGGTGCGCTAGCGGGCAGCGCGGTGCGCTGGCGTGGCACGATGGCGTGGCGCGTTGGCGAGGCGCAGGCTAAGCTAAGGCGTTTTAGGTCACACGTGGAGGAAGGAGGTAGCCTAAGTCTAGGAACGGCGACGGCTAGGTGAGGCCTAGGAATGGCGAACCTACTGCTGATACCATCTCAAAAACTAAACACAGCGGAATGGTTGGATTGATGGGGTTGGGGTACAAATGCCTAACCCTAACTGTTTGTACCCCATATAGCATGACCCACTAGAGGCTATAACATTTGACACATACTTGCTTATACATCTTTGTAAGCACATGGTACAGTACCTGAACAGGTCACTAAGATAACTTGTACAGTACCAGTACACCCATCAAGTACAGGCCATCAGAACCGCATGCTCCATGGAGCTGGTGATCATCAGCGAAGCTTCCATGCACAGACTTGGAGTACCATGGCAGCTGATGCAGCAGCAGACAGCATCAGTGCACAAAGGCAAGGAGGTTGGTGAGGTAGGTGCTTTCAGGGCATGCGGGATCGATGGGGTGGCATGGGGCGGCACCCGCCTCCCGTACCACTGTCACTTGCCGCCCCGCTGATGCTGCCGCTTCCTGCACACATGATGGCGGGGGAGTGACGAATTGTGAGATAGAGGAGAAATGAATGCCCAAGGACTAACAACATAGGTGGGATGACTACAACATTGACGATACCCACCACGGATTGAATTGATTGGTCCTGGCGTGTGGATGAGCGATCAAGAGACAGGCGGGACAAGGTGGGGGTGGAGGGGGGGCGAGAAAGAGAGTGCAGCAGAAACAAGCATGCCATGGCTTGTGAAATAGCTCCAGCACAGGAAGTGCGGCAGAATGCATGAGGAGAAGAGGGTGGAGGGGAGAGAAGAACGGCGTGTAGGCAAGAGCATATGGGCAGCAAGGAGGGGAGGGTATGGGATCGCACCCTGAGGATGCCTGGCAGCAGGTGCTGCTGTGACACAGCACCGGAGCACGAGCACGTCATGAGCAGCCCGCCAGGCGCCACCAGGCGCAGCGCCAGGCTGTTGAGGCGCCGGTACCGGTGCAACGCCCGGGGGAGGGACTGCCAGATGCTCGATGAGCGGCAGGGGACAGGGAGGGGCGTGTGAACAGGATGAAGGAACCCCAAGAGGGAGGGAAGCCAACACCGTGAGCAGAAATGTGGGGAGGACAGTGAGCGGGATACAGAATAAGGACCTAAACAGAAGGTCATGCACCTGTAGGCAAGCAGCCCCATGCATGGGTTGTCGCCATCCATCCACCCCATGCGCTCTTCCTCCCAGGTCACTTACCTCAAGCCCCCGTACCTTCCGAGTGGGAGCGAGCTTGGGTGGGTCCAACACAACGAGGTCCCACTGCTGCTGCTGCGCCACCGCCCGCTGCATGAACGCACTGATGTCTGCACGCTCAAAGCGCACGGCGGAGGGCTGTAGCCCGTTGAGGACCACGTTGGCTGCTGCCAGGGAGAGTGCCGAGGGGGAGGAATCCACGGCTGGTGGTGGGGAAGGGGACGGAGGGGAAGGAGCGATTGGGAGGAGACGGGTGGTTAGGATAGGGGGATGTGAACACTTTACATGTGAGTATCGGTGGGCATGGGTGAGATAGGATGCAGTGGGGAAAATCATGTGGCAAAGTGTCATGCCTGCGAGTAGCAGTGCAAGCGCTGTTTGGTGCACGAGAAGTGACCTGCGAGTATGTACACGCAACACATGGCCTGCCCACCTGTGACGTCAGAAGCGCCGGCAAGAGCAGCATTGATGGCAAAGCCGCCGCTATAGCAGCAGAGGTCAAGCACTCGGGAGAGAGGGCGGTGGGCGGACAGAGGCGAGGGCGGGAATGCCCTCCCGGTATCCACAGCTGCTGCTGGTGACAAAGATGTTGATGTTGCTGATTGGCCGTCAGTTGCATTTTGGCTACCGGTGCCACGATCGCCATTGCAAGTGGCATCAGTGGGGGTGAGGCCATTGTGTACCGCACTGCTTCCACGGCCGTGGAGTGAGGAGGCAACGAGGGAGCGCAGGAACAGGCGGCTGTCCCTCTGGTCCGAGTAGAACCCTGTCTTCTGCCCGCTCGCCATGGCCACCCAGAACCCCACTCCGTTCTCCATCACCTGCGGCAGGGAGTAGACAAGTATGCAGAGAAAGCTTGGTGAGCCTGCCTCCGCAATGCCACACTTACTGCCCACCTGATTTGCTCGTATGTACATGACATGACATGGCAAGCGGCAAGTGGCAATACCAGAATGGCAAGTTCAGGGAGATTTTTTGTCAGATGTCGCCTTACCTTCACCCTGTCGTCATCAGAGGGGGCCTCAAATGCGGCTTTTAAGAGTGGTGACTGTGCTGGTAAGCCACTTGCTACTGTTGCCACTTCTTGGTGGCCAGAATCCACTGCAACCGTTGCCACTCTCTCCACCTTTCCTTCATGGCTGCTGTCAATGCCATCAAGCATCCCATCCCCATCCTCAACCGCCGCGCTTTCCGAACCTCCAAATGCCTCCCCATCTGCCGGCTTCTCCCCACTGTTGTCTCTCCTCCCTTCCCCCTCTCCCCCGTCCACCACCACCCCTTCCTCTTTCAGCATCTCAACAGACCGCCTCCAAACAATCCTCTCATGCCCCTCCAATCCACTGCCCCCTTGCCCTTCCCTCCCCACACCCCCATCACCAACCCCCTCCACGCATCCCTGTGTGCTTGCATGTGCAGCGGGCAGCAGGTGGGAGAGTGCGTGCACAATGGCAGCGCGGTGGACCTCCACCCATGCTGCAGACGACGCCACCACCATGCGCTCCCCGTACACGTCCACTATCAGCCCCGACAACCTGCCCGCGGTTCGAAGCAGACGGGCGGAGAGAGGCAGGCAGGAGGAGGAAAAAGGGAGGGGGTAGGACGGCCGAGGGGGAGCACTGAAAGGCAGTGAGACAGGATTGGGATTCAAGAAGTTGGGTCGCTATTGCAACCAGGTGCGAACGGCAGACAGGGAGGGCTAACGCGTGTCGACCACCCTGACCAAAGGTCCCTTAGCTCCTTCTCCACACCACGCCACCCCTCCCATCTCTGCCTCTGAGCTCTTGGCTCTCATGCCACTGCCCTCCTGCGCCCCACTCACCTGTCCCCTTCACTGTTTACGAGCCGGAACGCATTCGTGCCCCCTCCTGTGGCCTCTACTGTGGCCCCTGCCACGCCCCCTCGTGTGCTCCTTTCTGTGCTGTCCGCGCCCTGCGTGCTATCTGTGATAAGTAAGCAAACAGCAGCAGAGGGATGTTGAGCAGAAAGGGAAGATACTCAATTAAGCTGGATGAGACGAGATGGGGTTGGTGGAGGAGAGCACATGGACGGAAGAAGAACAAAACAGCAATTCTCTCTAGCACTCGCCATCACTCTGATCCTCCGTTGTAAAACACTGCATATCACACCACACCACATCCCCCTTCTCATCTGCTAGCAAACCACCAACCCCCCTGCCACTGCTCCCTGGCCTCTCCACCAACTATTTCCCTCTAGGCTCAGCTCAAATGAGAGAACTGCGGACCACATCTCAATCTCACTACATTCGTCTTGTCGCACATCCATCCCCAAATCCCCTCCTCCATCTTGTGACACCCACCCACCGGCGGCGGCGCATGGCAGGGGAGAGAGGCCGAGCAGCAGGCGCAGGTTGAGTGAGGAGGCTAGGCGCAGGCGCAGCAGAGATGGCATGCACAAGACAGCCTTGGGATACCTGGGGAGGGGATAGGGACGGGAAGGAGGAGAGGGAGGGGAAGAGAAAGCAAAACGGTGAGAAATGGGGCAGTGGGAAGTCAGGAGAAGGCAGGATTGGAATGGCTTTGATGCGGTTCAAGCAAGGAATGCCATGCCATGCCATATCATGCCGTGGCACAGCAGGAGACATCTGCGCATGAGCATCACCTGTGCGCATCTGAGAGGGTCTGCATGATGCGCACGCGGTACATGGACGTGGGGTTGAACACCCCCCACGCCACCGCCACTCCCCGTGACCACTCCCCCGACGCCCCTCCCTCTCCCTCCCCCTCCTCTTCTCCTCCCCCGCCTATCCCCCCTTCCCCCTTCGCCCCTGCGCGCGCCTGCTCCCCCCTGCGCGCGGCGAGCACAACGAGGTCGCCTGCTTTGGGCGGGGGCCGCCCCAGCACGCAGTCCACAGCGCCTGAGAACACCAGCGGCGCGGGGCTCGCGGAGGCGAACAGGGCTGCGCGCCCGCGCTTCAAAATCACGCGCGCAGGGGCTGCGGGAGAGGGGGGAAGTGGGGTCAAGGTGAGGGGAATCAGGGCGGAGAGGGAAATGAGGGGGTGTAGGGGCAGAGGGGAGTGGTGACGCGCAAGGGCAGGGGTTAAGTCAGTACGGGGGTGAAACGAAAGAACGCAAGCCTGTAAACCTTATCCTGGCCCACAGAGGTAATCGTCCACTCGTGAGCGTAAAACCCAGAACCCCGCACCTTAAACCCGCAGACCCCCTGACTGAATTATCCCCACGTGAGTCCCTTTCACCTCACGTTTTTCCATTGCTGCAGCAACCTCGTCAATAATGTTTCCCCTGCCGCCCCTCCCGCTCCGCCCCTCCACGCCCTCCCTCCGCCACTCATCCCCATGCTCTCTCGCCTCTCCCCTCACTTTCTCCCCCCCCATCTCTCCATCCCCCTCTGCTCCACCTTCTAGGCCCCTCGCATGTCCGCCGTCCCCTTGCGAATGCATAACCCGCGCGCTTTCTCGACCGACAGCTTCCGCATCCCTGCCCCCCACCTGCGCCTTTCCTTCCCCCCACTCTTCCCGCTTCCCCAATTCCCCCCAGGTGCCCGCGCTACTGTCCATTCTCCCCCTGCCGCCGCGTTTCCCCCCCCTCTCGCTGCTCGCGCTTCCCCGTCTGCCGGCCCCATCTTGGCGGCCTCCGCCTCCGCCGCGGGATGCATTTTCCTTGGGCTTGCCGCGCTTGCCGCCTCTGTCGCTCCGCTGGCTGACTCCGCCTCCCCTTTCCGCGCGCGTTGCCGTCCCCCGCTGACCTTCCCCCAACCATCCGCTAAAGGAGCGCTCTTTGACGGAAACCTTCTGACCTCTCAAGAACACGTGGGGACCACGCGCGAGCCACTTTCCCAAGACTCCCGCATGCGCAGCGGACATGTCGAAGGAATCAAGTGGTGCAATTCTGCAAACTCTTTCAAGGACGAAACGCGGCGGCTTGGACCGCGCGTTTGGCGGAGAAGGTGTGGCGATGACGTGGAGAAGCTGCGAGGAAGCGCGTGAGAGAACAGGCGAACGGGCAGTTTGGAGGGGATGCGGCGTGTCAGGCGTGCGCGCAGTTGAAGCAACGATGGATGGCTGATCGCGCTGCAGGGCAAGCCATGCGAAAGGATGACGCATTTGGGAGAAATGGCAAAGGAGGTTCTGTTGTCATCACTTCCATCCCCCAAGCGGAGATTCAGGGCATGTTGAAACCACGCAACATTGAAATAAAACTTGGTACCTACCTGTTATAAATACACACCGTTCTGAAGCACAAATCACCGCACTCACAATCCCTCCACCACACCTCAATTGTAGTTTACCCTCACAACAATGGAAATTGAGTGATCTCAGCTGAGAAATTCATATGGTGAGGAGCCCAATCATCCGCATGTACATGCTCCATCAAAATACTCTCCTGATCTCATGCTCCTCTTTTTAACGCGTACAAGTACTCCAACCCACCACGTGTCCATTGATCACTCTCCGCTGCCATCATCGGCACTGCGCGCCATTTTGACTGCACTCGCCTGCTACGGGCAGGTACCCAGCCAGACGTACCTCCACCTTTACAGTACTGCTGCTCCCTCCATGCCTGCCCGCGCCCTCAGCAGCCAGTCGCACGCACCCCACTCGCGCTGCCACTCGAGACACGCCCTCCGCCACGCACCATGCATGTTGACGTGCGCGACTCTCGCCTTGCCCTCCCACCCCGCCACAGCTCTTCAGCCGCGCGCGCACAATGGTCCTGCGTAGCACCGTGCAGCCGCCCATCCGCGTTGTCCGCGAGTTTAGTAACCTCGCCACACCGGCTTACCACGACGCTTCTTCAGACATGTCTGCCACGTCCAGCCCTCCGATCGAATCCGACGGCCCAGATTCCTTTTTCCAGGCGCAATCTACAGCGACGGCCGTCCTAGATCGGCCCGTGCCAGCCGGCACGCCGCCGTTCGTAGCGCGGGTGGCGGTGGTGCCGTCCCCGGCGAGCAGCTCCGTGGCGGTGGAGGCGCCGCCGCGCCACACGTCGTCGAAGTACGACTTTGTCAAGGTACGATTCACTGCGCCCACGAGGGGGCGCGCTGTCGGTGGTCATGGCTGCTTGCTACGAGCGCTGGTGCGCGAGGGGCATTCGGGGGTTCTCGTCTACCGTTTCCACTGTTGGCTTGCGTACTCTACCATGGCCGATTACCCTGCGCAATAGAAAGAGGATTATGTCTCAGGAGTTTCACAAAGCAGCGCCGCCCCTGGCGTGCAGCACGGTTCTTCCGAGTTTAAGGCGCGCGGGGATGCGCCCTCCGTTTGCGCTGTGTGTTCCATCATGCTGCGCCGTCTGCGTTGCCTGGGTCTCCGCTTACTGCCCCTGCGCGCGCCCCTCTGCTGTGCCCGCCTGCCCTGTAGCTGTTCTTGGAGCAGGTGCGCGTGTGGCTGGGGGAGAACGACGACCATTACTACGTGCTGTCGAGATTCCTTATAGCGAGGATGCTCACTGTCACACGCATGCCACATGTGGTGGCCACTAAGGTACGCGAGTCGTTCTATCAGCTTGCTTGTGCTTGTGCTTGTGCTTGTGCTTGTGCTTGTGCTTGTGCTTGTGCGTCACCTCAAGCCATGTTCTCTGTGTGCCATGCCGTGGGACGTCTCAACACTTGATGTGCTGTGTGCTGTGCTGTCTGATGCCGCCGTCCCTGTATGAACTCGCACCACAGTCTAGTATTCTCAGTACTCAACTGTATGCGGCATGGCACGGCATGGCATGGTTTGGCATGGCGTGGCATGGCACATGTGAACCCACGGCATGGCATGGCAACAGGTGGCGTTGGAGTTGAAGAAGCTGCTGGTGGACCACGGGCTGCTGGACGTCAGTCAGGGCGACCTCGAGCGCAACCTCTTTGCTCTCATGCGCCGCCGTGGCTACGGGGATGACTACGTCGGCCGCTACCGCATGATGACCAGGCAAGCACTGCCGCTGCTTCTGCTGCGCGCCACTGCTGCTGCGGCCTGCAGCGCACTTGCTGGCTGCGTGCAAGGAACCATGCGCCCTCGCATACTGCCATGTTCATGCCACCCCGCTGGCATTGGCGCTTGTGCTTTCCTCCCATTTATTTATCGTGTCTCCACTCCCAACCTCTACCTCCGGAAGCATAACATTAAATATCACCTCACCCATCTCCCCGGCCATGCCCCATCCCCCACCCCAACCCCTGCACCCCCAGCTTCTACCACCGGCGCATACCGCTGGTGATATTCATAACGGGGCTGCCCTGCACCGGCAAGTCGTCCGTGGCCTCGCTGCTCGCACAGCGCCTCAACCTCCCCAACGTCCTGCAGGTCGCTCTCCCACCACCCTCCAACACCCTGCTCCTCCCGCCACTCTGGCGTCCTGGTTGTTTCCTCCTCTCTTAGCCCCCTCGTCGTATCCAGTCTCCTTGTCCTTTTCCCCACCTCCCTCCCTCCCTCCCTCCCTCCCTCCCTCCCTCCCTCCCTCCCTCCCTCCCTCCCTCCCTCCCTCCCTCCCTCCCTCCCTCCCTCTCTCTCTCCCGCTTCTCGAATTGCTTCCGTTGGCCCACCAATTTCCCAAACTCCTGGTCACCGCCCTCTCGCCATCCCCCGCCGTACCTCCCCCTTACACCCTGCAGCAAAACCCCCTTCCGGCGTCTCTTCCCTACCTCCGTATCCCCCCGTGCTCCCTCTCCCCCCCTCAGACGGACGTGGTATACGAGCTGCTGCAGGGCATGCCGGAGTCGCCGCTGCACGCGCTGCCGCTGTGGGCGCGCACGGACCTGCAGGCGGAGGACGAGGTGGTGGCGGAGTTCTGCCGCGAGTGCAAGATCATCCGCAAGGGTGCGTGCCTTTGTGCTTGCCCGCAAGAGTACATCACCGTGCTTGCCTCTCCTCTGCACCTTCTTCACTTCTCTTGTCCTTCCCCCCGTCGTTTCCGACTCCCCTCACTGTGTCTCCGCCCCTTTCTCCCTCCTCCCCGGTGCATGGTGTCATTGTGGTGCGGGCGTGGGCTAGCAGGGCTGGAGGGCGATTTGAGCAAGGCGCTGAGGGAGGGCAAGCCCGTGATCATCGAGGTGAGGCAGGGGCGTGAATGAGATTGTATCCCTGGCACTTTGGGGATGGTAGCATGGGATCTGTGTGTTCGTGCACACACGCTCTCCCTCTTTCTCTCTCTCCCCATGTGCCATTGAACCCGTTATGAACCTGTTATGAACCTATTATTATGTGTGGTGTGCATGCAGGGCACGCACATCGACCCCGACGCTAACTTCCTCTCCTTCTCCTCCACACCGCCACCCCCTCCGGTTCCAATGGCCCTGCCAACGCACGCACACCCCGCCACGCCACCACCACAGCCAGACGCCGCGCCTTCTGCTGCTTGGGGAAAAAGCACTGACAGTGGCGGCGGGGGTGGGGGGAAAGGAGAGGTGGGGTGTGGCAGGGAGGCGGGCGCCGATGACCCGATGGAGGTGGAGGGTAGCGAGCAACGGCAGCGTCGGGGTGTGCAGGGCGGGGAGGGGTGGCAGCATGGACGAGGACAAGGGGGAGGAGTGGTGATGTTGGACGAGGAGTTACGGGGCAGGGATGAGTGTGGGGGAAGAGGGGATGGGGAGCAGAGACATGGAGCTGGTGAAGGCGAGGTGGGGGGGAGATTCGGTGAGGGGAGAGGGAGGGCACAGGCATTGGGGACAATGGAAAGCGAGGGGAAGCACTCGCCCAGTAGTCCTGCCACAGGGGGTGCAGCAGCGGGTAAAGGCCCGTTGCACACGGCGAAAGCAGAAGCAGCAGCGGTGTCAGGAGAGGCGACAAAGAGGTTGCGCCCCATTGTCGTTCCCATTGTGCTGCACATGCACCCAGCTGACCACAAGGTGCGCTGCTGCTCGCACTCAAGCGCCCATGCATGCATTCACTCACACTCTTGGCTGGCTACTTGCTCTGCCTGCGCTCCTTCTGGCTACCTTGCTGCGTTTCCTGCCGTGTGCCTTGCCACACCGGCAGGTGGGTTCTGCTGTGTTCCCTTAGCGTTCTCACCACGCTTATGTGTACATCTGTCCGTGTTTCCATGTGTCCATTTGTGTGTGTGGCACGCCACAGGTGCTTCTTTCTGAGTGGATTGCATCGAATGCACCCAATGCTGCCCTGCTCTCTCAGGTGACGCCCCATCAACACTCTCTCATCTTCCGCCCCCCTACACCCGTCCGTCCCCCACTTTCCCCACTCCTGCTACTGTTTCATCCTCCAGTTCTTCCATCCCTGTCATGCACTGCCCCTCAATTCATCCTCCCCCTCCCCTGCCCGCCTCTCCCACAGGTGCCCATGGAGGCCCTAATGTCTCGCATGCATGCTGTGCAGAGGTACCTTACCTCCTTCCGCTCCCAGGTACAGCACACACACTCCCTCTCATTCTCTTGTGCTGCCAGCCCAACAAGCTGCCTGCTTTCTGCTTGGTTCCCTCTCATTCTCTGTCTGCGTTCCTGCTGTCTCCTGTGCTGTACTTGCCATGGCATGGCATGGCATGGCATGGCAGGGAGTGCACGTGGCGGACATCTCCTCCACCTCCTTCCCTCGCACCATAGACAACCTGCATGCACACCTGCTGGCGTGCATAGAACAGCGCTGCCGGGAGGATGGCTGGGGCACACAGGGGGACGAGCAGCAATGACCATGCACCACTCCACAGGCTAGAAATAACAGTACCCTGTACATCAATTCCCAGGGTGCTGACTGGTTCATACACGAGTTCCAAATTTTCTCTTGTAGTTGTGTAGAGACTCAATCTCCTTCTATAAGGGAACAGCGGATTGTTGTTCAGTGCAGTGTATAAGACAGTCATTAGCCAAATGTACTCAATGAGCTGTATAAGACAGTCATTGTCATTGCAAAGCCTATTTTATACAGGAGAGCTCTCTATGCATCCTAAGCATCCTCTTGTCTGCAATTTCCGGCAGCTTTGAGCTGCCTTCTCACCGCTTCACACTGCTGCTGCAGCTCTTTCTGCTGGCCTATCAGCTCCTCTACACGCGACTCGGCCTCCTGTGCTTGCTGTGTCAGTGCTGTATTGGTGTCTCGAAGCTGCAGGGCCTGCACAAAACAGGCAGCAGAATACAAGCAATCATGAGACGAAGATCGCAAGCGACACAAGCAACGTTGTTCCTGAAAAAGGGCAATATAGCCACACATGCACATGCAATCCAGTCCCCTCACCTCTCCCTCAAGTCTCTCCATCTGCAGCTGCCGTCGTTGGCGGCTCTTGCGAGCAGACACGCGGTTGGACTCCTTCCTCTTGATGTCCCTGTCCTCTTCCACCTTCTCACTCACGGCCCCCATGGCCCCTCCCATGCGTGCCTCTGCCAGACCGTCCGCAGAGCACCACAGCCCTGTAGCGTCCCCCCCATTTTCCGTGCCCACCACGCCCGCCATTCCCGCGCTACCTGCTGTGTCTGCTGCCAGCGCGCCAGCCAGTCTCGCCTCCAGGCCACTGGTCATGGTACAGGGGGCGCTAGCAGATGCCTCCGGTGTGCCGCATGGGTCACTGCCAGTGCCGGGCATGCAGGAGGGCAGCCGCATGGCGGGGTGCAGGGAGTGAGAGGAGAGTGGTGCTGGTGTTGATGATGGCGACAGTGACGCTTCCCATGGCGCCCCTGCAAGCGCTGATGGCGGGCAGCAACTGCATTCCATGGGCAACGCGTGGTGCTGCCACGGGAGCATCAAGGGGTTACCAAGGGCGTCCATGCCCATGCCCATGGAACTGGACGTACCCAAGTTCATCCCCATGCCCATGTGTTGCTCCATGCCCATACCCATCGGCATGTGCTGTTCCATGCACATGGGATTCCCAAGAGCGTCCATGTCCATGCTGGGGGAACTGGACAGCATGCCCATGCCCATGCCCATGGGGAAGCGAGCAGAGTATGGCGGCGCGGCGCCACATAGCATGTCCGCATGTTGGTGGCTGGAAGCGTGGTAGTGTCCAGCGGCAGTGGGCCAGGGGCCGTCGGATCCAGGCGCCGTGGCGTTGCTCGTGGTACATCCGGGACACATGAGCATCGCGTCGCCCTGCGCCAATCCGCGCGCCGCCATTCCCACGTATCCCGCGCAAACGGGCTCCCCCGCACCATCGGGTGAGTGCGCGCAAGGCAGTGCGCCGTGCGCCTTGGCCATGTGACCATTGCAGTCCACCGTGCAGTTCAGTCCACCGCCGCAGGCGCCGCCCGCCGGCGAGCCACACTTCATCGCGCGGCCGGGCCACGAGTGCATTTGGCGCGCTACGTCGTCCAGCGTCTCTCCGCCTCGGCATGGGAGGGAGGCGCCGGAGGCGCACGCAAGCGCGGAAGGCGTGTCGGCGCACGGGCTGCACGAGACGGCGTGCGGCGCGATAGGCGCGTCGGAGAGTGTCGCGGATGACTGGGGGAGAGGCGGCTTGGCGGAGTGGTGCTGTGCGTGGCCGGGGAGAACCGCCGCCAGGCGATGCGCCAGCGATGAGGTTCCCGCCGCGTGATGCGCCGCCGCGGACGACGGACTTACTGACTCGCCCTTGCGCGGTCTGCGGAGACAGAGAGGAAACCAGATTAGTACTCTGGACGCAAATATCAACCGTCGACGCTTCATAACTCAGATCCACTCAAACAACATGGAGAGCAGCGAGAAATGAGGGCAGAAAGTAAGGTGCGCGGCGGCGACACTCACTTTTTGGTGGGCGGCGCGGTCTTAAGGCCGATGACGCGCTTGATGTCCGCCAGCTTCAGCCCCATGGCGGGGAGGGGCGGCGGGTTCCACTGCCGCTTCTGGGGGGTTACTATAACGTGACTCCCGCCGGACTGTAGACGTGCGGCGGGCTGAAGGACGTGGTGGTTCGATCCGACGTGGACGGCGGCCGGCGCGCATTCTGTGGTGTGACGGGCGTCATCGCCGCCTACGACCACGAACTCCTGCTGCTGCACGGCGGCCGATAGCATCTCCAGCACGTGACTTGGCCTCGCCGCCTCGCCCGTGCTTCCCTCTTTAGTGTCGCCGCCGCAGCCTTCACACCGCGCGGCGTCGTTCAGCAGGTCCAGTGACGAGCCGGAGAGCGCCGAACCGCAATCCGCGCGCAGCCCTGACGGCTCTACGCTACCTGTCACCGCATCCTCCGCCTGGCTCTTCGCGATATTCGCGGAGTCGGGGCCTTGCGCGCGGATGTGCGGCGCATTTGCCACTGGCAGTTTCTCTCCGCACATTCCCGCTGACTGGATTTCCGTGTCCGCGCCACTCCAGAGCTCCGTTGCTTCCACGAGACCTCCCTCTCCGCCGACTCCATGGTCACTGTGGCGGCCGCTGCTGTTGCTGCTCGTGCTGCTGCTCACGACAATGGTGCTGCTCGGAACTCCGCTGGCGACGCGCGATTTGTCAGGGAGCAAAGTATCGGATCTTGTACGCAACTTGGCTTGTATACCATTCAGGTGTCTCAGTGATGAAGGCGCGAAAAGCGGCGGAAACGAGCCCGTTAGGGCCGAGGATGGAGAAGCGGGGTACCACGTGGGGCACGATCCGTCCTTCCATGTGCTCGGCGACGGAGCGAGCAGCACAGCGGGCTTGGACCCGCTTTCATTGACCATCATGTGCGACACGGGATCGTGGTAGTCCCCTGGCGACGCACAGCATGACGCCTTAAGGAGCATCATGTGGCTTTGCGGGAGGGCTGAGACGTCCCCGGCCTCCTCGCTTGGCGGGTCGTGCACCAGGGTAACATTCACAGGAACCATGGTGGTTGAGAGCTCCATGCTGCGTGGCACCATGGTGCATTCGTCCCACGGGTTTCCCAAGGAAAGATTCAATGTGAGCAATGGGGTACGATGAGGCCCAAACAGATTGCCAGACGGATTGACGAAGAATGGGAAGCGATGAGCAATGGCAACGGGGACTTCATATAGGAGAAATTGAAAAATGCGACTGGAGACAGGGTGCACAGTGAGTGGTCCCCCCACCTCAAGCCTCCCTCAGTACGCGGAAAAAGAACCTTTAATTATGGTACACGTATTCTGATTGAAGTTAGCTAATTAGTACAGTAAATAACAAACAGTACTTCTTCCTCGTTATACACAATAAATTATGTTCACACTGTGGTGCCCGGCTCTCCCGTAACACAGTGTACTCGGCTCGTCTGTGCTGAACTGTACTCATGCCCTCGAGGGGCAGGGCTGTACTTTTGCGTTGCCCTGCTTCCAGCCTCGTGTGAATCGGTGAAGGAATATGTTTCAGCCCGTGAAATGAAGTGAAGAAGTATATCATGAATAGGCCAGGCCACGCCAGGGTCAAATCCAAACCTGGGCTGGAAGGTCTGGGTGTAGTACAATCAGCAAACTGTTTGGGTGTATTACAAGTATGAGTTGCTCGAAACGACAACTAGTATGTATAACCTACAGTGGGAAGGCTCTGCACTGCACAGACATGGGTTGCTAGAAACGACAAGTATAGCCTGGCACCAAAATCATCCGCAGAGCGTTGCTTGCCAGCCGACGTCATCAGGTTGGCCGCGGATGAGTCACGCGGACGAAAGTGGAGACGAATCTTCCTCCCCCAGTGACGGTTCCATCTCTTAGTGTTTTATAGTTCGAGAATCAATTCTCCCAAAGTGTTATCAGCGAGCAGAAACCCCGCTGAAAGCGATGTGGTTTACTTAAGATCTGGAAAGGAATGACACTTGTCCCCAATAGGATGGAACTCATTTCGCGTGATGTTTTCTAGGAACCCTCCAGTCACTCTTTTCGGATACTCATGACGTCACCATCAAAATCATTCCTGCTCGGTGACGCGTGCCGAATCATCGATGCATCGTACGACAATTCTAATTGGCTTGTCCCCAACAAAGGACACCGCAATTCACCTCCAGCGCAGCTTGGATATGTGGATATGTTTCACGCAGAGATCAGCTTCAAATGTAGCTGTTCAAAAACGACAGGGCCAACATACAGAGTGTGTCAACTTGCCAGCTATACAAAACAGTACACCCTTTTTCTTGCTACACTGGCAATGAGATTAACTGTCTACAAAGCGTACTGTTTCTTGGAACGTAGCGGTCTGGTGCTTACAACCGAACTGCAGGCTGGTGATGGCGAATGCTCTCCTAGTGAACGGTACACAACGGTTTCCAAAAGGAAATTTGCTTAGGCGTACGGTTGAGTTCGGGAATACGTGCTTATATGGTGCGTTCTGGGACCATCCTGGATTCAAATATGTGTGTAGATCCGATGAACCAGTACAGCAAATTATAGTGTAGCGCGAAACAGGGTGTAATCAGAACGGGCGGGCAAAAACTCATGGAAGGACCACGGGCCTATTCAAAAGGCGGGTCTCTTCAAGGAGACGGAAAGGTTGCTCGGACGACACGTGGGTCATTCTCAATTCAGGTGGAGAGGGATACTGCAATTGATGCTCGGGATCGACCTGAGTCTTTTGGGAGAGCGATAAGTGCGCCCTGATGAAATATATGAAAATTCTTGTCAGCAAACGAAGTACGAATACGCTCTTGGTGTCAGATCACGAAACCAATCAACCGCGATATCTATGACCACAGTCCTGTCATGTGACCTGTGGCCAGTAGGCACTGGGCACGTGGTTCTGCGAGTTTCAGGCGAGTGTGGCACAATTGCCAAATCGACTTTGGCTACAGTATGCGAATGCTGAGTTTGCTGACTGTTACGAGTGCAACTGAGAGAGAAAGCCTTTTGGGGTTTCGGATATTGATATTATACACCAAGAATACACGTGCACAATATCAGAGGCAGTGCAAGGATTCCTTAGCGCACCCTGCAACATCGCGTACAGCAGTAGCCGTTGTTCGCCCGTGTCTGCTAACGGGGCTTTGCCAACTTCTCGCGCACCGTTTCACCAAACCATGCACCGCTGGCCCGGCCGTGTCGTCTTACGCTTCGAGACTGGCCCGAGCCCCGTTGCCAGCCTAGCATTAGCTAGCCCGCACGCACCGCGTTACCGTTTGCATGTTTCGCGTATAAATGTTCGCTCATGCCTTCGCTCACATTTTGTACTTGTTTGACACTTAGTGCAATCCTCGCTACCTCGATTCTGTTGGAAACAATCGGTCCTAAGCGCCTCTGTCGTGTCGAAACACTAAAAGACACAAGTGAAGCAACTGTGAAAATTTAGAAGAAATAAGAGGACTGCACTAGCAAGAATGGGGATACAAATAGGAAACCCTAGAAGGGTTGTACTCGCTATAAAGCACCCCACTACAGGCTAGAGCATAAGATAACATTGTGACAGCAACGCATATCGAGGCACCAGCGAGTCAACCCTCGGAAGTTGAAGCAACAGCTGGAGGTTACGCGAAGGTCTAAGGTCAGCGACCTTTGACTTGACAAATGTAGCGCGACAGTAAGGACACACAACTGACTCGATATTGAGCAGTTGCCCGAGTCGCACTGTATCGAACCGCAACAGCCAACAGTAAAGCAGTTATCATTCGTATCTCTTCGTATTCCTTGTAATCATATATAAAATCTTGTATCCCCTTGTTTTAAACAACTTACTTTGCCCTCACATACTAGCGCAAGGTGGTTTAGAATCTCTTTGTTAACGCTTCCGCTACTACATCATTCTACCCAGAGATTAACCCTACCAAAGATCCTAAGGGGCACTCAGCCCAACATGGTATGAGAGCAGGTTAGGGTTAAAATTCTATTTCCCGTTAAATTACACCAAGAAACATGTCGACCAGAAAGGAGATGAGCTCCTCCAACGGCTCTGAGAAAAGTTGAACGAGAAAAAATGAATGAACTATGAATGAAGTGTCGAAATATTTTGTCATGTTTTATAATTGCTTGTAGTTGTAGTTAGTGTAGTTATGTAAACTTTTGTTGGTGGTGCACCTTATTGTGTTTCTATGCTATATGTACCCCTGAACCTATAGTGAAAACCGACCTTTTCACAATTTTCCTCTCAACTCACTCGACTCTCACCCTAGGGGAAAACCCGCTCGATACTAAGTTAGGGCCTAGGCTACTAAGCCTAGGCCCCACGTTTCTACTCTCGTTTACCTACTATCTTGACATGGTATCAGAGCTGTTTTCGTCCTGGCCTGTGGGCCCGCGTTACTCTTCCGCTGCTGAGATTTTCCGGTCGCGCGCCTAGGGCGCGTGACGATTTTAGTTTTACCTTGTCCCGCCCACGGGCGTGTGACTCCTATCCTGCCCGTCGCGCGCCCCGTGGCACGCGACGGTGCCCTTTATCTGCCCATCGTACGCCCCGAGGCACACGATGGTGCCCTGCTCGTCGTGCGCCCCGAGGTACACGATCGGGCCCTTTTATCCTACCCGTCGTGCGCCCCGTGGCACTGGCCCGCGACGGGCCTCTCCGCCCCTGCACTCCCTGCTGCGGTCCCTGACCCATCTGCACCGACGCCTCTTCGCCGCTCTGCGGCTTTCTTCCTTCCCACCCCCCCCTTTCTCTTGTCTCCCTGCAGCCGTGGGGAGGAGGGTATGGGGGTGGAGGGTGTTGGAGCGTGGGGTCAACTCTCTCCCTTTCCCTCCTCCTTCTTTCAGTCCCACCGCTGCAGCTGCCGCTGGGGGAGGAGGGTGTGAGGATGTGGGTGAGGGGGGGGGGTGGTACCGTGGTGGCGGGGGTGAGGCAACAAGCAGCCGTCCCTCCACCTTTCCTCTTTCCCCCCTTTCTCTGCTGCTTCTGCAGCAGTGTTGGGGAGGGGAAGGAGGAGGGTGAGGAGATGGTAGGGGTACCTGCTGTTGCTGTAACTACACACCTACCTACAAGCATTATGGGGGCGTGTCGAAATATTTTGTCATGTTTTATAATTGCTTGTAGTTGTAGTTAGTGTAGTTATGTAAACTTTTGTTGGTGGTGCACCTTATTGTGTTTCTATGCTATATGTACCCCTGAACCTATAGTGAAAACCGACCTTTTCACAATTTTCCTCTCAACTCACTCGACTCTCACCCTAGGGGAAAACCCGCTCGATACTAAGTTAGGGCCTAGGCTACTAAGCCTAGGCCCCACGTTTCTACTCTCGTTTACCTACTATCTTGACATGAAGCGAGTACAAATATGAAACCCTAGTTGTGTTGTACCCCCTATGGGATACCCCACTATAGCCTACACAATAGCATAAACTATAATGTTCTGACACACACCCATAGGCAAAGTGGGGGAGAACAAGGGGTCACAAGACCAGTCAAGCAAAGCAAAGCAAAGCTCAGGGTGGATCACA